AAATCTGAAAAAATGGAGTTTTCTTTTGGGACAACCTAATAATTGGCGTTACACCCTTTATCTCGTCATGATATCTATAGTTGAGAAGTTTGTCCGCAGGCAATAAGCTGAAATGTCTTAAACAAATTGCCAGGTTCATAAGGTGAATCACTAAGGTTCTATTTCACTTTGAATATTTGACTAGCCTGGTAAGCGTTCATTAATGAATTCTCAAAGCAGTAGTTCTTTCATCAACGACTGAATTCCTCTGTCACTCATTGAACAGATTCGGATTGCATCTTTGGAATTGATAACCTGTTTAGAGTAGTGCGAGGCGTCCTTTTGTGAAATCTTAGAAAGATCGCTTTAACCTACTAGTTGTCATGTTTTTCAAATTTTGCAATTTAGAGATGCTGCTTGTTTTGCTGGCAATCTTCTTCGAATTCAACGCAGGTCAGTTGCAGTCTGGTTACGAAGAACAGTTGATCACCAGTGAAATCAGTAACAAAGCAAATGCTCACGAGTTCGCCCATGAAGCAAGTCTCGGTACTGTCGGGTCTGCAGATATAATCAATGTAGCAGCAACTGCTCCAAAAATCCGATACGGTATGTCACATGAGACCATGCAGCTCAAACCAGTGATAACAAGTGGATCTATCCAAACCATCACCCATAATACCCGCACAATACCAATTGTACTAGAAAAAACAGTCCAAGCTGGCGAGTCTACAAATGTGTTCGACATTGCTCCATCACCTTCAAAGATCCAACTCGATATAGCACACGAAACCGTAAACCTCAAGCCAAGAATATCAAAAGTATTTTACCGCACTTCAAGTGGAATTACCAAGGAAGCAAACCAGGATATTGCAAGTAGTGCGAGCGTGCGTGGACTCAGCCAGGATGGGTCGCTGAATGTCATCAGCGCTGCTGCACCTTTTCGAAAATTTCAACTTAATATGGGGCACGAAACCGTAGAAGTTAAGCCAAAGACAACAAATGTATTCTCCCACGCTTTCAGTAATTCCCAAGAGGAAAATCAGCGAATTGTAGGTACAACACGCGTCCAAGGGATTAATGAAGCACATCTTTACGCCGGAGATTCGACGAACCTGATCAAAATTGCGGCACCACCTCCAAAGATCCAGCTCGATATAAATCACGAAACCATGAATGTTAAGCCAATGATATCAAATGTAGTCTCTAAAAGTGTCGATGAAATCACCCAAGAAGCAAATAAAGATATTGCAAGAACGAGCGTTGGTGGAATCAATCCTGAAGAGTTGATGAATGTGGTCAAAGTAGTGGCGCCACCTCCAAAGATCCA